AGTTAAAGAGAAGAGCAAATCTCTAATGTAAAAATTTTGAACCACCATACTCCATAAAGGTTTGTTCATCAAATCAAGAAAGGAAGCAAGTAGTGGACATTTGTTGGTTGTCGCCAAGCCTTTCAAATATCAAGGTGGCAATGATTAAATTCAGCACTTCAGAATGGAATGAAAGGACTTTGTTGTTATGTACCTCCAAGTTAGAACAGACTAATAGCTGACCCTCCAGAGGGTTTTCAGAGGCAGTAAGTTGCATGGGAGGTCACAACCCATACTTCTCCTGTGCAGCAGCTGGCGGATTAGAACTATGTGCTTTTGGATTGGTTGACCACCACCTGACTGCTAAGGCACCAGAGCTCTCAGGCCTGTCTTTTATTGTTTTTGTTCAGACATTCCTCTAGGTCGTATAGCCCTGGTATACAAGTTGCCATACTGTGGTCACTTTTGGTTGCTGTGAGGCTGAACACTGTGACACTGATGTGTCAAATGCGTTAATGGCTGGTTACTCAATACAGACAGAGTGGGGTGGAGCTCCCTGATTAAAACAAGTTTGGAAGGAGGAGTGGTATCCACTCCTCCAGAAACCCTATGAACCTGGAGAGAGGATGAAAGGCACACAAGTGTCGAGGACCCTCCTTCATAGGGTCACTATGAGTCGCCTGCAACTCGACGGCACTTAACAACAACATCCAAATATTCAAGCCCGACCAGAGATGTAGGTTCAGGAGTTCACGCAACACTGAAATCAGGACAAAGAGAGTCAAAAAAGACTTTGTTCATGGACTTGGTTAAAACGTTCAGGAACTGAGATATTATTTCCCCCTTCTTTGCTTTACAGGGAAAAATGTAGTCTTGGGAGCTGTGAGCTCATTAGGATGAAAAGTCTGTCTAAAACCTGAAAAGAATAAGCTGAGAAACTAAAGAGAAAAAAAAAATAAAAAAATAAAGAGATAAACAGGGTCCTGACCACATGCTGTGTGTTCTGAAAATTCTTTACCTGGGATTAGATTTATGTCTGCACGATTCAGCTGTGTAAACGAACAAATTCTATTCATATCCCCAGCCCACCCTCACTGAGTCATGTTAGGACATAGTAGCTCATTGATAATGAGGACCCTGAAGAACATGTTACTAGAATTTCAAATTAAATCAACCTTGATTTGCAATGAAGTGGGTCCTGGTAACTGCAACTGTTTTTAAACAACTTCCTCTTCTGGTGTTTTCATACCAAACATTTCTGAATCAACGAATAAAGAAAATAATACACACAGAATTGTAGTAAAATGAGAGGAGGCTAGGGGGAAAAGTAGTAGTCCAGTGATAGTCTAATGAGAACCAAAAATACTTTAGTGACTGTAAAAATGGGGGTAAATGAACTGATCCAATAATATAACAGAAGGATCAACAGTATCTAAGATTTGATCAGGCCTGCAAGAAAAGACTTAAAGTGAAAGAATTTATTACATGCCAAGCTTCACACTATCATGACTACAATCAGCGACCACAAAGAGTCCGTTTGGAGGAAAAATCAAGTCCATTTAGACATGTTGATTCTGAGGTGATAAGGCCATTAGATGGGTGTGTATATGTATGTGCATGGTTGCAGTCAGGTGCTGGTGAGAGGGTTCCAACTCAGGTACAACAAAACAAAATACTGACTGGTTCCATAGCATCCTGATAATCACTGTTATGCTAGAGCCCATTGCTACAGTGCGACACTCTGGAAAATGCTTTGACACAAAAGTTATTTCCTTTCCCATATAAACTAGTTATTTTCTCAAATCACTTTGTGGTGCCATAATTTGTGAATATCATTATAAATACCACTGTTTCTATTATCTAGTCAATACAACTCATGTTATCAAAATCAATCGGATACACAAATATTTTTGAAGGAGGTTTTTAATGCTGCAGGGAAGATTCCATTTTCATAATGTTTTTGAATGATATGAAAGCAGGCATCTCTAATGAGCAGAGGTCAAAAGGCCCTAAGTGGAAAACCCTCTGTGCTCTGGAGGCGGGATTTGTTCTACAAAGCCTCCTGTCACGCCAGTAGCCAACAAGACAAGTTGGAGAGCTTCCCCCCGTGACATGTGCTTTAGTTGCAGCGGAAAGGAAATGTGTCATCCATCTGTGGTTTGGCTTTAAAAGTGGAAAGCTAGCTGTACATATCCTTTTTTTACTGCTGATTTACTTTAAAGTTACTAATCTTCAAGTGTATTCTGCTTTAAATGATTCGGAAGCTGGGCTTCAAGACAAGAAAAGACGTGACTTATTAAAATCATATCATAAACAGATTTTGACCAAGCACTTCACAAGGTACGTCAGTTACATGGTTTTTCTTAAGACTTTTCACTTATGAGCTTGTAAAGATTAGTATATTTCAAGGAGTGCTTTCAAATAGTACTTAAGAATTTCACTAACAAAGTAGAATCATAACTGAATGAAATGTATACTACTTTTTGCCTTAGTAAATAAACTTTAAGAAACAAGTAGAAAGATTTACTATCAACACGGCTGTTTAAATTATGATTAAGAAAGATATGAGTTTAGACTTTACAAATGATCTAGAGTGTTTTATTTGGAAGGAAAAAAGTTATATAAAAATACATTTCTCATGATTAATCCTTAGGCATTATGAAAATTAACACATAAAAAAATGTTTGATAATGCAACCTAGCCTTTATGGGTTAAGTTAGGGATACAAAGACAGTTCTCCATTTTCAGGCCTCTGTAAGGGTCAAAGACAGTCCTATTTTGCCAACTGTTTGTTTATTTGGGGATGGCAGTACATCTGGCTTAAGACAATCAACAGCGGGCCTATTATCTGTCTTGTGGTAAGCACTGTGATAGTATGTACAAATGCTATGATGCATACTACACTGATAATGAACAAATGAGACAAGAATCCACACTTTAAATCATTTTTAGCATCATCAAATGTCACAACTTAGACCTGAGTAAAAAGATGAAATCACTTGCTAACCCAAATTAAAGTATTTGTGAGAACAAAAAAGTATCCAATGATATATGCTAGTCCATTTAAAAGATAAAGCTAAGCATTATTACAGATATAAATCAGCATATTACATCTTTAGCTCTCTATTAAAGGTTACAACCTAATAAAATTAAACTTGATTTGAGGCTATCTTAAGGATTTTTTCCTGTTATTACATAAAATACTACCTCAAACAAAACAAACCCCCTCCCCCCAAAACAAACATTACCTCAAATGATACTTGCCCGTTTCTACTCTTTATTATACGCACTTCTGTTTATACTACACATCACGCTTATTATTCTCAGTTACTGTACATTACTAGTACACAAACATTAGGTATTAGATACAAATAACATGTTAAAATATTTTTTAAAAAGTATTTTATCATGATTTGGGTGAAGGTATTCAAATTAACTTTTCATTCAACCATTAACACACATTTTGTTCTATAACTGACATATCCACAATGTAAATGTCCTTTCACCACTCCTCCCTGTAATTCTGATTTCCATTAATCCTTCCATAACACTCCAGGTCTTCCCTTTCTTTAGCGATATTGTGTTGATCATTCTCTAAGGCCATACTAGCTTCAAAGCACTTGATTTCGCTAAACACTTTTTTCTTAAGAAACTCTGATACTCTAAGCACAGTTGGCTCCTGGTAGGTATCATTTGGTAGTAGGCCTGAAATGTAGGACCTGAGGCTCCATCCTAGTCCTACTGAACCTGAATCTGCATTTAAAAACAAAAAAAGATGATCCCTATGTATATTTACATTTGAGAGGGATGCCAACAAAATATACTAGGCTTTAAAAGGAGCAAATTAACTTGGTAAATCTTCAGCAAACAAGTTTTTATTTCTTGTTCCCTTAAGTCAATGCTAGCAATAACATAGTCTTATGTGTAGTGCAAACTGCTAAGTTAGTATAAATGAGGTTATTTCAATGACTCTAAATATTCTCTGTTAAATTACCTGTAATTAATGTGCCTGTAATAAACATGGTAAGTGTATTTACATCTTCAATAATATGATCAGTAATAAGAATATCAATAGAACCTGTGAGACTCCTTTTTGTACTGGCTTTCAAGAGCTAAACTTGAAACTCAATGATTTCCAAGGAATTGTTCAACTTTTACAGTTTTTATCCCCCTGGCCCCAGTCATTCTAAATCTCTGTGCTCTGGAAACTCAATTTCTTTCTTTTTTTATATTTAACTGCATGTAAGAAATGGCTGAGTGCAAACAATTTTCAATAAAATTAAAGTTTTGTTGAGCTTTTGAGATTATTTCTAAAACACGCTTCTTTTTCTTTATAATGTCAAGATTTTAGGTTGGACTAACGTATCTTTATATTCAGAAAAGTCTGTTATCTCAGGAGAATTAAGACCTGAAAAGACAGACCCGTCACCACAAAACTGCTGTCAGAAATAGGAGAAATGTATTTCTAAGTATATGCTTTCTCCTAAAAGTATCAAGATAAACACTAGGGAAACAAGAAGAACATCTTCAATTTTCATCTGAAGTCCACTTTCTTGCTTCATGGCCATGTTTCTCTTTCTCTAGAAAGACATATCTGTTAGAGGGTGGAGAGTTCCTGTAATAATGATCCTTAATAATTTTTTCCCAAAAAAGAGGAATCAAAAAAGTAAAAGCAGAAGTATGTGACTAAAAGCTGAAGTCTAGCATGCTTGAAAGGAAGAAAACTACATGAAGCTATAGCATTCAGTTTAAGATGATTTAATAATCTGTAACACTAACTTCTAGAATCTAAAATGTAAGAGAAATTCCAGGTTTTGATACCAAAATTAAAAAAAGAAATGAAAATGTTTATTTATACAAAGCATTAAAATTATAAAAACAAATTAAAGTTGAGCAGGAGAGTAAATGTTCAGTATCAGTTCACAGTTTTAAATGATAATTACCAACACTAGAAACCTTGACTTGTTCACACATTAATAAGTTCTACTGCTGTCTCCACAGAACGCAGTGCACCTATGGACATGGAACTCACCGGGTATCACCTGAGTCTTGCTTTCCTGATAACTGGGTTTTTTCTGTTACCTGGCACAAGTGCCAACTACACTGACCTCTGGACTAACAATACTGTCTGGGATCCAGTTATTCAAAACAAGACAGGCAAAAACCAAGACATAAACATTAACACAACTGCAATGCCTGAAGCAGATTACAGAGGTAATTCTACAAGCATACCTGAAATGCCAACATCATCTCGCATATCGTTAACTTCTAAAACTGATCAGATCTACACAACCCTAGTGATGAGGAACAGTTCAACGGTACAGAACAATGAAGACACAAGCAAAAGTCACAATGAAATTTTCGAAAAGGATGTCTGTGATGAAAATGGTAACAAAACAGCCATGTTAATTTGCTTTATTATAATAGCAGTGCTTTTTCTTCTCTGTACTCTTCTATTTCTATCAACTGTAATTCTGGCAAACAAAGTCTCATCGCTTAGAAGATCAAAACAAGCAGGCAAGCGTCAGCCTAGAAGCAATGGTGATTTTCTGGCAAGCAGCGGTCTTTGGCCTGCTGATTCAGACACTTGGAAAAGGGCAAAGCAGCTTACAGGGCCTGGCCTAATGATGCAATCCACTGGAGTGCTCACAGCTACGAGGGAAAGAAAAGATGAAGGAGGAACTGAAAAACTCACTAACTAACAGATGCTTCACTAGAGAAAATGGCAAAGTAGCAATGGATTATGGCGTGAAAAATGAAAGTTAGCTGGGTATTGAAACAAAGTGTTGGCCTAGTACTCTAAAATTTGACATGACAGATCTTATGCAGGTGAGAGAGGGAGAAGTATGTCTGCTTACTTAAGCTGTGCATTTTTGTCTTGACACTGAATTATTTTTGAAAGCAAGTGTAAGATACATAAGGGAGCTGGTCAGGACAGGTAGAGAGGAATAACTAATGTGTATTTTTTTATTCAAGGAGCTCTAGTGGCATCATATAGTGTTGTACTGCTAACTAAAGAGTTAGTCATTTGAATCTACCAGCTGCAAAAGATAGGCTGCCTCCCCTGCCCCCCCCACCGGAATGAAAATCAACAGAGGGTTGCCATGAATTGGAGTCAGTGCGATGGCAGTGGGTTTTTGGCGTGGTCTTCCCCTTCTTTATTCAGCAACAACTGTTAGAAGATCTTTGTTTGAATATAATTAAACTGGGGAGTGTTTAAACCAAGCACATGCACCATCAAGTAATAGAAATTGTATTTATAACATCCAGGATTGAACTCTATAGATGTAATGGTACTTTCTTTGCTGGATATGGCAGAATCCATACTAGTTTATATTTCAACACAGCTAACTTAGTCTAGATCATATGATACACACAAGAAAGTGTTTTTCTACTATAAATATTAAACAAAATATTTTCATTTTATATACTATTAAGACTAGTTAAAATAAAACTGTGAGTATATGTACTTGTACTTTATTTTCATAGAGAATGCATCACAGAAATCATTAAGAAAAAGGGCACAACCTAAAACAGACACAACTGGTAGCCACACTAGATTGCTGGCTGTCAATGTAAACTCTTAACGTGCAACAAGCACCTTCTCTGGAAGTATTTACTGGAATGTTAATACTTAAGTATTCAGAATTAGGTTTGTTTTTTTTTTTAAATTTCAAGGAGCGCTGGTGGCAAGAAGCTGCATGCAAAAAGGAAGGGTGTGTGTGTGTGTGTGTGTGTGTGTGTGTGTGTTGATCAAATCTGGAAAAAACAGATACTTTAATTATTTAACTTTTAAAAAGAACTTTCCTAAAATGATGGTTTAATTAAGTCAAGACTTCCATCGTCAAGTATATTACAAAAATTAGTTTGGGAGATTTCCCAACTATCTGTTAAAATTGACATAAGATGCACTATGTAAGATACATTTTTCAGAAAAATTTCATGCTTTATTCTGGACAACAGGTCAACAGATTTTTTTTCTTCCCCAAGTATAACCCCAATTTTACTCTATTTTCTAGGTTAGTGATTTTCATCCTGGTTGCTTATGAAATTTTTTTATAATACATCAATGCCTAATTCTCTCTTTCTCATATGTGATTGAACCGGAAAGGTGAGCACTGGTAATACATTAAAACCGCTCTAGGTAGTCATCAAATTTACTGTGGCACCAAAGATTTAGGTTACATTTTTAAACTAGAGAGATGGAGAGAAAAGACAATTTTATTATAATGTATTAGCAATTTTTTTTAAAAAAATCATTTCCTAAATAATAAATCACAACATTTTTATCCTAGCTAAAAGTCAACAAAGTGAAAAAGAGAGCTTTAGATACTATACACAAGAACAAACAGTGATAAATGGAAAGTACTCTTTGAATCAAGTATTACTTTCCAGAATAAATGAAAACAAGTTTATAAAAACTGCTAACAAGACCACTACTTTCCTATCAAATATATACAGTTCAAATATTTTCACAAAACAAAGTTTTCACTGGCAGGGTGGCCTAATGGCAAGAAGTTGCATTGAAATCTCAAAAGCATACGGTTCAAACTCACCAGCTGCTCCGTAAGGGAAGGGATGGGCAATTCTCTCCCATATGATTAACTAACTGCCTCTGAAAACCTGCTAGAAGGTTAGGTATGGGTCAGTTTCAAATTAATGGTACAGAACAACAAGAAGACTCAGTTATTAAACTGCGTGTTTGTTGTCATTGTTTTGGTTTTTTTCTTCTCAGTGTGCAGCCCCGTCAGTGCTCTCAGCCCATGGAGCTAGGCAATGGTTCATGGCTGATGTTTACTCTGGCATAGGTACATTATGAAAGACCCACAAGAGGACTTGCCATAATTAAACTCTTTCAAATTCATCCTCATAGTATCATCCAATCACAGTTAATAAACATAAAAGCAAGTGGTACTTTTTCAAACTTGGCAGGTATTTAAAGATATTTAAAAATATATAAAGATATTTAAAAAAATATATAAAATATATATAAAATATCTAAAGATATAAAAGTATTTAAAGAGAGGTATTTTTGATATCAAATTAAAAAATTATTATTGAACAAAAAAATTTATTTTTTACTCCTGAATATTATAGCCTACCTGTTTAATGTAAGAATTTTTAAATAGTTAATCAAATGTTTTATAGCATTTTTATGACATTGTACTATATATTATGTCCCCTTTAAGAAATGAAAAAATTTATTTCTTTTGCATCTAATATTAAATATCTTAAGAATTAAGTCTTACTTCCAAGGAAACTAGAAAAGGAAAGCTTCTTAATATGATTCAGGGCATATATGAATAGCCAACAGTCAACAATATACTTAAAGGAGAAAGGTTCAAATTGGGAACGAGACAAAGGTGCTTAATCTCAAACTTTTTATTAAATAATATATAGATATCCTAGCCAGGGTACGAAGAAAATAAGAAGAAAAAAATAAAAGCATCTGATTGAAAGAGGGAACAAAGTTATTTCTATTTGTAGATGACTTACTGCTATAAAGAGAAAATCCCAAAAAGTCTGCAAGACATTTTAATAGCCAGTAAGAAATTAGGGAGCTTAAGTGGCCTAGTGGCAAGAAGCTGCGCTGCAATCCTTAAGGCATGCAGTCTGAAGCCCCCAGATACTCTGTGGGAGAAGGATAAGTCATCTCCTCCTGTGTGATTAACTGTCTCTGAAAACCCCCTGGAGGGTCAGCTATGAGTCGGTTCCAACTTGACAGTACAGAAAAACAACAGTAAGAAATTTAGTAAAATTGTACAGAACATCAACAAACAAAAATCTCTAGCAGTGACAAATCTGGAAGAGAATTAGGAATATTTCATTTAGAGCAGTATTTAAAAGAAGAAAATGTCTAATAATAAACTTAACTAGGGATGTGAAATATTTATAAAATAAAAATTATAAAAGACTATAAAAGAAAATCTAACTAAATGAGAAGACATTTTATATGTTCAAAGATTGGAAGTTTTAATATTATTACAATGCCAATTACCTAAAGTGATCTGTGGATTCAATACAATCCCCAACAACATCTAACAGCCTACTTTATAGAAATGGAAAAACTTATTCTCAATTTTATATGAGTAAGCAAGAAGTTCCCAAATATCTAAAATAATGTTGACAGAGAATTACAAAGTAGGAAGAAATAAATGTGTGGCTAACTGCCTCCATGAGGAGGCAAATTTCTGTAGAAAAAGAGTAAGTTTATCAATAGTTCTTAATGGTAAGATTACAAGAAATGGATGGTACCCAGCTACTATCTACTAGTACTGAACATTTCGATCACATTTTATATAGAAAAACACATCTTAAACAAAGGGGGTGGGGTGTGCAGAACAGAATCTCATATTGTCTAGGAATCCAGATTTTCTAGAGGCATGAAGGATGAATGAATCTCTCAAATTACTGGCTCCAAATAAAATTTTAAATCTTTAAAGAATATTTCTTGAAGTCTTCCTTAAAACCAAACAGTTGTTTAATCAGTGAAGAAAGCACTATTTTAAGACTTATCTATATGGGGTCAAATAAAGAATAGCAACTCAAAAGATTAGACACAAAACTGTGGGGCAGCAAGTTTATGAGGGAGGAACAATTCATAAAAGAAGGTTTAGAATGATCATACACCTCAAAGAATGTGATCCACGTCACCGAGTTGTACTTCTAAATGCTAAATCTGTGGATGTTCTTTGCACTTCAAACATACATGCTAGTTACCGTTAACTGCTCTTGAGTCAGCTCTGTTGTTCTTAGGTGCCACTGCATCTAGTACAACTCACAGGCACCCTTGGAACAATAGACCTGAACCCTGCCCTAGCCTGTGTCACCCTCATCATCTCTGACACACTAGAGTCCACTGCTGAAGTGACCAATTCAATGCATCTTCTTGGTCACTTCCTCTCCTTTGCTGACACTTGCTTTTCAAGTATGATGTCCCTTTTCAAGGGAACAGCCTCACCTAGCTACATGTCCAATGTATGGAAGATGAAGCTTTGCCATTTTTGCCTCTATGGAACACTAAGCCAAGGATAACAGAACAAAAACATGTCTGAACCCATACCATCCTCACAATCACTGCTACACTTAAACCCACTGTTGTAGCCACCATGTTATTTCATCTCATTAAAAGCTGTCTTTTGCTGATCCTCTACTTTACCAAACATGATGTCTTTCTCCAAGGGTGGTCTCTCCTTACAATAAAGCCAAAGTATGGAAAATGAAGTCTCGCCACCCCACTTTCTAAGAAGCACTGTGGCTGCTCAGGCACATGTGCACATGATGCTCTGGTGGAGCAGTTCACAGGGAACTGTGCTGCTTGCTAACCTAAAGGCGGCACCCCTCTAGAGGTTCGAATCCACTAGTGGCAACATCAAAGAAAGATGGGTAATTTCATCCCATCGGATTCACAATCTCTGAAAATGTACTGGAGTGTCAGCTATGAGTTGAGTTTTATACACACATACATAAATAAAATTGTATTAACAACTAAGTCATCTTCATCTCTGTGCTTATACAGTGATCAGGGGAAAGGAAAAGTAGTTGACATTTAGTTCACTCACACACTAATGCAAGCAAGGGTTGATATCTGTATGTGTCACCAGGAGGCCATTTGTATTGATTTAATTCCCATGCTGCTGTGCACCATCTAAATAGAACTGACCCAAAGCTGACCCTCCAAGCGGGTTTTCAGTGGCAGTTAATCACAGGAAGAAAT